GAATTTTGTCTTATCAAATAGAAATTCACTGATTATTTGAGCACATAGTCATTGACTGATTTAACAGCTATTATTATTGAGTTTCTACTACCAACCTAGCCATGGTAACACAAGAGAATCATGACACCTGATCTCAAGGGGCATAGAGTTTACTGGGAAATGAATAGTTTAAAAGAATTCACACAAAAAAATCCAAAAAATGAAGAGACATATCATATTGCATTCTGCAAAATGTAATGGTATTGGACTTTAAAATATATTGCAGAGAATGCTTTAATAACTACACAATGCATTATCTGCTTCCTTAAGGAAAATATGAGAAGAGGGGAACAGGTGCTCCAGCTTGGTGTTCTGAAAGAACTAGAATTGCGACCAAGACTGGAGCCCTGTGTAAAGGAAAGTGCTCAAGTTGAAAGCTGGAAGAGTCCTTCCTCATCACACCCATACCTTACCTCTGGAACACATCTGTGCAAATCAAATCATGTAACTTCTCTGCTTCAAATATTCAAGGGCCTCATGAGGACTGTCTGTTTTCATATTCAGGCTAGGATTGGTTTTCTTTCTCCATTGCTCTTCAGTAATATTATCCCTACTACATCCTAGAACCTCTGAACCCTTCCTCATCTCAAAATGGTTGCTGTTTATTTATCTTGTGCCTTGAATACTTGGTGTGTGGTGGGGAGAAGGGGCATCTTTAAACAGCGAACTCATTACTACACTTCAGGTCATAGCTCAAGTCCAAGCTCTTCAGAGGGCTCCTCCTCAATGACTCTTCTACTGTTTACATAGCAATCTGTTTATTTCTTCCCTATAGTCTACTGTTTATTATACATTTTCTATATAATTGCCAACATGCCCAAGACCATCTCTATCTTTCTCATTTTCCAGAGATTACAGTTTCTAATGCATAGAATGTAGAAGCACCAATAGAAATAAATGAATTAACTAATTTAAAATGTCATTGGAAAAGCAAGGCTTTCTGAATGATCAAAGGAGTCTACAAGTTTTTCCTCAGTTATAATAAGTATCCTGAATTGATCTTAAACAAGTGATTGGAATTTCATTTTTTTGCACAAGGAAATTCAGAGGGCTATATGAAAAGATGCTTAGCATAGGGCAAGACAGAAGAGGAGCCAAGATAGGCAGGCACTGCAGTGATCCAGTTCAGAGGAGGAAATGATGCAATGAAGGCATATGCCTGTATTTAGTCCTACATCCAACTGGGCAAAGGAGCAGGTATTGGCATATTCCTCTCAGCAGGTATGACAATAAAAGATCTTGATAACAGGAGAAATACAAAGATGCATTTTTCACAATAAAAAGTTTGAGATATGTTGAGACTACTACTTGTGAAGCTTTGGTGTGAAGAGTGTTAAAGAAACAGGGATGTAGTGACCAGAGATATTTGGCCAGCATTGGTAATACTGAACACAGTGCCTTAAATTCCTCAGATGAGGAAATTTGTCTTGATAATATAAAATATATTATTCTTATTATCATGTTATTCTTTGTAAAAGCTTTGGGATCAGTCCCTTGGGCTAGTTAGACATTTTATAATTTCCTGAGGTGATATGTGTCACCAAGGAAACCTGAGAAATGATGTAATGAGTTACAATTCTTTGGCAATGATGGCATGGAAAGGAAGGTCTGGAGATAACCAGGACATGGGTCAGGACAGGGCTTGGGAAAGGGAGAATTGCCTATGGTAGTCAGAAGAACACTTAAATTGACAAGAAATAACAAGTGGGTAAGAGCAGGTACCAATAGATTTTTGTTTTGCTGTCAAAAGCTGCCAAGATGCCAATTTTGTATTTTCTCAATCAAGGATATTTGAAGGTCATTGAAGAAAAGTTAAAGGGGGGAAGGAATTCAATACATATTGAAAAATGTAATATAACATCTATCACCAAAGGGAAAACAAATTTTTAGAAAGGGGAAAATTTTATTGACGTCTTTGAATGGCAATGCAAGATTGTGGATTAATTTGTAATGACCTTTTCTATCAAGTTGAACATCTGAATGATAATAAATAAATATATCATTCTGCCAGTTTTACATTCAATTAATTGAATGGTGCTTTGTACAAAAACATTTTCTATTTTCCATAAAAGTGCATGGTTTGTAACAAAATATGAATTTATTCAGATAGTTAATATTATGATAGGAAAAATATCATATAATGGTAAAAGCAACTTATACTATGTTAAAATTTGGATGCTAGTATGTATATTAACATTCTATGATCTGATGGTAGTATTATTTCAACCATAAAATTGAGGTTAAACATGCCTAGATCCTATAGCACAACTTAACTTTATGTTGATAAGAGCATCCTGCGGAAAAGGCTTAAATGCCTTCTTATGAGATGAAAAGAGTTGAAAAGTTATTTTTTCCCTGCTATGATTACTACTGAATAAAGATCAAAAGAAATGACTTCAAGGTGTAAAATGAGGACCATATGCCCTGGCCAGGAAAGGCCTGCAATCCTGCTAGTTGTTAAACTGTCAGGTGGATTTCCAGAGTAAGCATTGTCTCTTTCTGTGAAGTTTAGGACAGAGACATATCTCTATATGATGTTATAGTAAATTTTATCTAAAGATATAGCAATGAATTTTATCTTAGGGATCCCTAAATGTTATATGAAATTATTAAACTACTACCCTCATGTACTGATATTAAGAAGAGTTTGGTTCAAGTTCCTGCTGCTTTACTTAAATATAATTTAAAACTTGATCATGTGTCCTCACTATACTCAACTCAAAATAGATTAAAGACTGGACTATAATACCTTAACCATAAAACTCTTAGAAGAAAACATAGATTAAAAAGCACCATTCCTTTGGTCTTAAAGGTAATATTTAAGATATGGCTCTCAAAGCAAAAGCAACAGAAAAGTAAGTACGGTTACATCAAAAGAAAAGAAAAGAAATCCACAAATGAAATTATTTCAGATTCTAGAGAATGGAGAAATATTTATAAATCATACGTCCAATGATAGGTTAGCATCCACAGCATATAATTCAAACAACAGGCACCACGCAAATAACTCTAAAGACAAACAGGATTGGCACAGATATTTTTCCAAAGTGACCTGCAATGCATCATTACTTATATGTGAAAATGCTTACAAATCACTGGACTTGCAAAACTATAAGATTACCTCACATCTGGTTGGATGATTATTATAAAAAGGCAACAGATATTATGAGTAATGAAGACATGGGTTAAAAAGAGTATTAGTAGAAATTAACTTTCTTACAGCAGGGACTTTCTTCAAGTAGAGTTACTATATGAGAAAGAAATCCCAGTTTGGGGTAATTATCCAAAGACAATAAAATAATTGTCTTTGAGATATGTCTCCTCTCTCATATCCATTGCAGCAATATTTAAGAGATGAAGTATCATAAATATGAACAATAAATATTAAAGAAAATGTGATATTTCATACATACTTTTATCATATATCCAATTTATATAACTCATATGACAATGTGGATGAAACTTGAGGCCACTATTATTATTTTTTTTTTTGGTATTTTTGAGACAGAGTCTCCCTATAGCCCCAGCTGCCCTGAAACTCACTATGTAGACCATGCTGGCCTTGAATTCACAGAAGTCCACCTGCCTCTGCCTCCCAAGTGCTGAGAGGCCATTATTTTAAGTGAAACAATCTACACATAATAAACATCTAGCGTATGAACTCACTTATAAGGAGAATCTAAAACTGGTCAAACATAGAAGCAGAGAGCAGAATACAGTTCACCAGGGGTCAGAAGATGAAGAAAACTGAGAGAACTTGTTCAAAAGAAACAGGTTTGCATTATAAGAAAAATAAGCTCAGAGGTCTGGAGAGGTGGCTCAGTGGTTAAGAGAACTGACTGGTCTTGCAGAGGAATTGGGTTCAATTACCAGCACCCATATGGCAGCTAACAACCATTCATAACTTCAGTTCCAGGAGATCAGATCACTTCTTCTGATCTCTGTGGACATTGCATGATATGGGTACATTTACATACATGCAGGCAATATACTCATACACATAAAAAAAAGCATTAAACAAAGAAAAATAAGCTCTGGGTCTTTAATGTATACCATCGTGATTATAGAAAGTAGTTTATAGCCATAGGAAACTGACTTAGAAAGGTATTAAGATGACTCACCATAAAATGAATAAAACTGAAAGTTAACTGTCAAATGATGATAATGTACTTAGTCTGAAGATGATAATTATTTTAAAAACTTGTGTATATTAATATCATGCTCCACAACTTGAATTCATATGTAGTTTTGTCACTAACATTTCAATATTGCTAGAAAAATTAACTCAAACATGCACATGGTGGCCCTTGGTTCTCCTTTGGATTTGTACTCCATTATGCTCTATCAGTGTTTATGTTTAAAATTTTACAATTTCCTTCATTGCAAACATGGCAACATTCATTTTGATTACTAAAAATACTGTTATCAAGTATTTATTTAAAAACATGGTGTAAATGAATAATTACCTGAGTCTTTTATGTAACACGCACACACACACACACACACACACACACACTCCTCGCTAACACACTAACCCACTGCTTAATATTTTTTTAGAAAGTATCTTATGTAAATCTGGCTGACTTTGAACTCACTATGCATCTGAGGGACTACCTTGGATTTCTGATCACTCTCCCTCCACATCTCAAGTGCTGAGATTACAGGTGTGGACCACCAGGCTAGGCTCAACTGCTTCATCTTTAAGCAGATAGATCTTTTTCTCTATTTTCCAGACTTAAGCTTGAAGACAGAGACACTCCTACCCACAGCAATAGTAACAATAGCTCCAAATTTCATCATGATTATAAAGTAGCATGAGAATTCTTCCCAAAGTTAAAGAAAGAGAAGACAAAAAAACGTATCTCTCCAGTTCTGAGACCCTCAAGTTTCAGAGAATACAGGTGCAGAAGATGTAAAGCATGCACTATAGCAGGAGTGCTGCCTGAGAGCCAGCATGTCACCTTGCTGCTGCACTGGTGATGATCTTCAGACTGCCCGGGTTCCGGATGAGCTTGTCCAGGATGCTGACGATTTGCTCAAACTTGGGTCTGTTGTTCCTGTCTTTCTGCCAGCAGTCCAGCATCAGCTGATACAAGGCAGCTGGGCAGTCCATGGGAGGTGGCAGGCGATAGCCCTCATCCACCGCTTTAATTACCTGTGGAGTGGAGAGATTCCGGGGACAGAAGATGTGAGACTCACTGGACTTTTCACTCATACTTGATACAAATATTTTAAACCTCAGTAAGACAGTTATTTTTAATTGTCTAAGAGAATAATAATTGGTTGCTTTGTTTGCATACATTACAAACTATTCATGCCTGAAAATATTATATGAAGGAAGATTAAGTGAAAGATGTGTTCATAAAGTTCTTTTTCAGATCAAAGCAAAAATAAATGTTCTATGATACAGGAAATTTGTTGCTACAAAGAAATTATCATTTGATTATACAGATTATGGAAATATTATATTAATTCATGTAAAAGAAATCAGCATGCAGGTTTTCGCTATACCACAATCCAAATGGTCCCTTACAATTCAGAGTAACTCTCTTTGGACGCCTATGGACTGTGCAGTTATTAGTTTGACATTTTTGAAACATGGAAAGCAGTGATTTCCAAAGTTTAATATGAATCAGAAATAGCTGGAAGCCTTATTAATATGCAAAAATGATTTTTCCATTATTGAGTTTCTGAATTATTTGTCTAGGTTAAAGTCTGAGGTGTTATATTACTAACACATTCTTAGGTCATGTTAAAGTTGCTGGACCAGGCACCAAGATAGATGTTCTGACATAGCAACACTCGTGAGAAAATAGTAGAAAATGAAAAGTGATTTTCCTGCCATTATTATAGAAAACACCCAGCATGTTTGAGTAAACAGAGAATGATCTATACATTAAAGTATAGTAGAAGCAATTTCAAAAGTTGTGGCTAGGAAATTGACAGGATTATCTCAGTTTGATTTCTTATATACATTTGGCTTTGTATTCAAAATTCTTGGCTAAACATCAAGAAAAAGTGCTTATCCCATAAACCAATAGCATCTTTTTACTAAGAAATAGCAAAATGTAAACTTTACAAACAAAATTCCCTTTGAAACCTCATACTATATCTATAAAAGAAGTTCAAGTTTGTTTGCGCTAGCCTCAGTTTTCAGTTTGAATAAATTCATGTGCAATCATAGTACAGTATTAGAAACAATGTGCTGGAGTTTGCCGTTTCTGTCTTTGTGAAATATGAAATTTAAGGATTCAAAATTCTGGAATAGATGCATAACTTTGTTCAAGAAAGGATGGCAGACATATGTTTCTTACTAATGCTAAGTATAAACATATATATGTTTTCTTATTGGTCATTTACTTTATTACATTCTTGTTAGGAATGTTTCCTTTTTGTTTCATTCTTAAAGCCCTGCTTGAAGGAAATAAGTAAAGCTGTAAAAACAATTCAATTAATACCCTTGTAAGACTTGGGAAGAACTTCATTCATCTAAGCATTCAGCTTCGGTGTCACCAAGTAGGCGCCACCTGGCTTCATTATGCTTCACTTCCTTGCACAGCTTGATCTTTTAATCTCAACTCATAACTCATAAGCTACAAACACACACTTACATCCTGATTGGACATCTCCCAATATGGTCTCTCTCCGTAAGACATCACTTCCCAGAGAACAATCCCATAGCTCCACACGTCGCTGGCTGACGTGAACTTGCGATAGGCAATTGCTTCTGGCGAAGTCCACCGGATTGGGATCTTCCCTCCCTGGGAATAAAAATCACATGTACACGAATGAGTAAGTCACTGAGTATATGCTGCACACAGTATTATCTGAAGTCAGACAGAACTGTTCAGGATATGTCTCCTCTGGAGGAGAGTACAAGTTTCTGCCAAAATAATCTGCTGCTCTTCTATTCTTGCATATTTGTTTGTTTACTTATTTATTTCATTATTGAATTTATTCTTTGCCCATTTCATATATGTATAAAGTGCTTTCTAGTCATGGCAATTCTCCACCAACCTTAATCTTTCCCTCATCCCTACTCACTCCTCTCCTCCCTAAACTTCCTCTTTAAAGATCTTTGTCTCTTCTTTGAGAACCATTGAGATTAACAATGATCACCTGTGAGGTTGTGGGTTTGGAACCATCAATGGGAGCTTGGTGGGCGCTAGCGGGTACAGAGTAAAAGCAATAACTACTCCTCTCTCAGAATCCATCAGTAGACAGTACTTGAGCAGAGAATGGTTGGCCACAAGGGTCCCTTCCTAATCCGTAACTGAAAATTATGCAAATTAATATAAAATTATCTCTAAAGAATTCAGAAAAAAAATATTAAAAGCATAAAAGAAAAATACTGCTTAAGTATTGGCATAGAAAGTATAGCTGATAGTGTATCAGGTATGGAATAATAGTCACTGCAGTAGCTGTAACTCTAGCATCTTCTTTAAATTGAAAGAGACATCACAAATTAGCCTTTAATGATTTAGCTTGCATTTTTATTTGAACAAGACTTTTTAGTTCAGAAAAATAATAAGATAATATTATAAATAACAGGCCACCTTTCTTTTGGTCTTTTTGAGACATGGTCTCCCTGTAGCCCCAGCTGGCCTGGATGGAACTCACTATGCAGACCACTCTGACCTCAGCCTCACAGAGATCTGCCTTAGCCTCCCTCACAAATGCTGGCATTAAAGGCATGTACTGCCACACTCAGCCTTAGATGACTTCTTAACACAAAAATTATAGGCATTTGTCAACTAAATAAACTAAAAACAAATCTGTAAGCTATCCTCAAAGTATTAATCATCTTTTCTGAATACACCCAGGACAAAGAAATGGTAAGTATTTCCAGAGAAATATACGCCACCAACTTGATTATATATTGTATACATATATTAAAATGTCGCATTGCATTGTACTCATAACTATACACAACTTATTAAATATCAAATGAAAGCAAACATATATTATTCCCACATTTAATAAGTACACTCCCAAAACTTTACAGCTTGATGGAGAATAACATTGCCTCCATGTATTTTGGGAAGAGTGATGATACAAATTTGATGGAATTTGCTCTCACCTCACTAAAATATTTAATAAGATGATACTAATTGTCAACCATATGGGAAGCACTAAACTAGTACCTTTAGATTAAACAATTAAAAATAATATCCTGTACTTTTATTTGGAAAATATCAAATAAGAATGTTTCTTCCTTGTTACTAATAGATATAGGAAAAGAATAAGTGCCTAGAACATTATTTTCAAGCTTTGCAGTGCATATGGACTCACTGAGGACTCACTTCTGTGGAAAATGAGTTCTGGTTCAAACTTCAAGTGTGTCACCAGTGTTCGCAACTGCATCAGACTCCAGGTGAGGCTGGCTTTCCTCAATCACATAATTTACATAGCAGTAGTGTCTATGGATGCTTATATTAGGTTTGAGTTTTCAGGATTGAAGATTTCAAGTACAAACTCTTGGTTCTGACAAAATAAATCACTTAACTTGAATGTGACTTTAAAGAGTGAATGCTGTTTCATCATGCAGTTAGAGATAGGGTCATATAAGTTATTTCCAGAATAATCTTCTAATATAGTGTCACTGGCCTTAACCTGTGCAAATCCTCTTGGAAGGCTAAAACTCATACAAATTAGATGTAGTTTTGGAACAACACATGGCAAATTAATAAAAACTTTCATTTTGTATAGTTTTCTTGACATATTTTATAACTCTTACAGCCTACAAAACACACATACATTCACAAACTTGTTATAGTAACAACTTAAAAACTTTCACTATTATAAATTCTTAGCTCTAAGGCTAAAATGTTAATAACAGATTCAAGACACTTATTGGTTCCTTGGACAAGAAATCTTGTAACTAACATATCCATCAACTAGGGAATGAAGAAAAGAATACGAAGATGAAAAGAAAAGTAAAAAAAGAATACAAAGATGGTGTTTCTTACTATTTAAAGTTTCTATCACAGAGAGTGTATTTATATGTCAGCAGTTATTAACGTGACTGTTTCTTAATGGAGTGATCAGTTAAGTATCCTGTCCTTTCCTCTCTTTCAACTCACTTCAGTTTGTTAGCTAGCCACCACACTTTTAATGTTATATTGAATTCATGGAGTGAGACTATAAGGACACGTTCACTGTCAACTACAAAGCGGTATTAGAAGATAGCAATTGTTGCTATTGCCAAAAAGAAACAAGACTTAAAAGAATGTTCTACTTCTTTTTCCGTGATGGGCAATGTTGAGTTACTATGGTTTTAAATCAACACAAAAGAAACTGATATTTCACAAGCTACCAAAGAGATTTAAAACCAAGGAAATAGTTGTGGGAAAAAAAGGAAATGTGAATATCCTCCAAAATTCTTCAATTTCTTCAATTTCAGCCTTGTGGTTTCTATCTTTTTATGTCCAACACTAATACAATGACACAAATTAGTACAATAGACCAGTACAGTGCCTACTGATGGAAACAAAATGAACACTCCCAAACTCTAGTTTGAAGGTACAAGTCTATGAAAGCTGTATTTGTTAGAAAAGTGAGTATTATAAGCTTAACCAACACGGTCTGTGCCCACTGTAGAGTTGTTGTTTATATTTAGATTGATCATCCTTTCAAGTGTGCAGAAAATAGGCATTGAAGAAAAGCCTATTGATCTTCATTAAACGCTTCTCCTAAACCCAAGCATCTTAAATACAGAGTTTTCTTTTGGGAGACCTTCTTCCCATCTGCCTTCTACTACTAGTCTTTTCTTCTAGGTGTTTGAACTGCATAGCACATTACTGTTATCTATACTCACTTATCCAGGACTCTTGCTTTGATCTAACTGCAGTCTAGTACCCAGCGATAAATCTTTCCTCTTCCTCCCATTCTCCATCCTTGGCCTCTGGTAATCATCATTCCAACACTCAACTTCTATGAGATCAATTTTATTCGACAACATATGAATCACTTAGCATAGTTTTCTTTACACCGTTTCATGTTGACACAAATGGTTGAATTCCATTCTTTTTAGAGTGCAATAGTGTTCCATTGTATATTCCATTGTCAGCTTTCCTTTATCTCTTCACCATTATACTCCAATACTGGGGTAGACTGGAGAGCATATCTGCCTTCTCACTTTTAGTCTTTAGACACAAGGGGTCATGTTAGAGCCAGAAGGCTCTTACTGACATTCAGAACAACTTACTCCCATGGTGGTGGCTATCCATTTTGAAATGCCTTTTCCCCTTTCTGTATAAATTACATCAGTGTTCCTGAATTGTGACAACCCAAGATTCCTCAAGGAAATATCTCATGTCTTCTGGAAAACAGAATCATCATCACCGTTTGAGAGCTGCTGCTTTAGGTGATGTGTGACAACCATGACCAGTAAAGGAAAATGAGCCAGGTGAGTTAAAGGATTTGGGATTCTGTATAATTTGGTGTTCTCTCTGATTCCTCTGCTTCCTCTTTCTAGGATACTTTTGTTCTTGTCCTGAGATTTAACTTCAATAAGAAACTCGAGTCCAATTCACAAGTGCTAATCTAGGACTTTGATAATATAGCAATATCTCTTCTGGAATGTTCCCTCACTTGAATTTTTCTCTTCCCCTTCCCTCCCTACCCTAAATTTTTAAAATGGGATTATTTTCTGTTGTCAGAGATGCTTAAAGTAATCTAATAGTTTAAGTACCATTTTCTTTTTCAGATGGAGCCATTAGTGACCACATATTTCAGTGAGATGTGTTCATTCTAGGAGCAAATTATCTTTACCTAAAATTTATTTACATAAATGTCATTGGCACAGAAAGATTTTGAATAAGGGCCCTTGAGGGCCATCTTTGGTTCTTAAATATGGGTAAAAGATGAAGTTGGGTTCCCAAAATTTAATTTAGTCACAATTTGAAATATGTCTCTCTCCTTTAGGCTGTTCAACTGTTCGGTTGAGAGTATCAAACCAAAGTAATTGGAGCCTACAGAAGCACACTCACTAAATTCCTTGCAAATAAATCATTCCAGAACTTATACATGTTTTGTTTGTGGAGAGAACACAGTTCTTCCCCATCACTCATCCAATACTTAAACTCAGTTTCCCCAAAGATTTTGCTATTTTTTGTGAAATTTCTTCCTGAGTTTATATATGTCAGAAAAAATTCAAGTAGATGTTTTACACCTAACCAGTAAATACAGATTTCACTGAAATATGCAAAAATTTGGATTTGATAAGACAATAAAATCTCATTATTTTTCCTTTGTGTTACCTGACACAGTAAAACAATTCCATTGCAACTTTATTGATGAACTTAAACATGAGATTCATTTGGTAATTAATTTTTTTGATAAAGTACTGCCCAGATTTCAGAATATTATAAAGCTACAATTAGTTATACAAAGAATTTTTGGTGATGTATTTTCACATATCTTAGTAGGTTGTAAATTTAAGCATTTATTTGTATGTCTTCTATATCCACATTTAAGCTCCCCAGTTATTTATGCATTTGAGAAAATTTCCCAATTGCTTGGAGCAAGCCCAGAAATACAGCAGATAGACTCTATCTAAAACCTCAATTGCAAAGAGAACTGCAGTTCAAACTCAGCAGAACCCAAAGTTAACATTTGGTCCTTCTATTTGCAGTGTCAAATCTACATGCATTTCCAGTCAGCATCCAATCGTGTATAGGTATAAGTAACTGGGGGTACAGGGGAATATTTAGTTGCTGGTTCTGTTTGAATTCTTCACTTTAGTATAAACAAAGATTGT